GGTAAAACCCTGCAGCTCTGAGCGGCCCGGGCGCAGTCCGCGTTGGAGGCGCCCGCCAGGCAGCTGAACGGCTCAAATCCCCCTTGACAACAGAACCTTTTGCACTTCTCTGGCTAGAACTGACCGAGATTCCCCCCAAATAACGCAGACTCTTTTAAAGTCCCCCCTCCTTTCTTAGCAGCCCGAGCCGCTGCTGACAACTCGCCTATCGCGGCGGCGATCGCTTCCACGCGCAGCAGACAGTGACACAAGCAGCGGGTTGTGACACCGCTGACTAATCTGCCGGTCACCATCGGGCCTCGCCAGCGGCGCCGCCGCGTGCGGGTGACGTCGCTCGCCGGGATGCGGCACCGCCAGGAAAACCGGGCGGGAAGCACCCAGGGAGCTGGGAAGCTTCGGCCTGGCCGTGGACCGCGCTCCGCAGAGCTGCCCTTGCCCTGCGCTCTCTGCTCCTGCTTGTCCCTTCCCTCGGCCCTTCTGCCTCTCCTTGTGTCCTTCCCTCTATCCCCAGGGTTTATCCCGTGCTGTTTTCCCATTTCTGTTTCTCTATTCATCCCCTGTTAAGTGTCTCCCGCTCGGCGCAAGCGGGAGCAGTGGGAACTCCGCTTGTCACCTCCTGCCTCCAGCCCTCAGTTCTCTCCCGTCCTCTGGCATCTTTGCGTGCGGAAAGCGAGTTGTTCTGCACAAGGATTATCTACTGTTGTGATTTCCCTAACAAATGAGGTTGCAAAATCTCCTGGGGGATGAGTGTCATCATGAGGCATCCACACAAGGCAAAGGAAAAAGCACCAATTCCGTGTTTTTGATACTTGGTGGCAGGGAAACAAGGCTGGGTCAATGTGGACCCCTAAATCTGCACCAAGTAGCAGGGCTGGCTCTCAGGAATACTGAATCCTCTGCACCTTTCATCAGTGCACAGCACATCAGATAGGCAAAAAAAAAAGCAAGAAAAAGAAAAATCAGCTGAACGCATCGAAGGGCAGGTGGGGGGGAGAAATCCCAGGCTAGGAAATGAGGTAAAAGCAGCAATGGTGGAAAGAAACAGAAGGACAACGATGGAAAAGGACATTTGAAATGTTTTATAGGAAAGGGAAGATGGAAAAACATGGAAGGGAATGAGAGATTTAAAAAATAAATGGAAGCACAATGTGTGAAAAGTGGAACAGGAATGTGAAGGACAAGCAGTTTCCTTATCCTGGCAGCATTATCCCCACAGCGGATCCTGCTGGCATTCCTTAAGCACCTGATTCTCCCTTCTAATTCTATATTTACTCCTGCTCATAAGGTACAAACTGTTGAGACATTACAGCTATTGAGTGGGACAAGAGAGAGAGCATCATGAGCCCCACTGAGGGCATTTTAAATGCACACAACATCAGTGACTATTTGGCAGTAATCTATTTTTTTTAAATGACCCATCACCTTGGAGCCAGGGATTTACCTCCACCATCATCTCTGGAGGCTCCGGGAATACTTTTCATCCCTGTTCAATAAGGCCCTTCCTTTGGGTTGGATTTTCTCACACATGGAGGTTTCCCTGCTTTCCGGGGGGCTCGGGAAACGCGCTGGCCGCTCTGCTCGGTGCTGAAGGTTTGGGGTCCGACCCACTGTGCCTGGCAGCACACGCACCCCTAATTCCCTGGCAAAGCTGCAAACACGGCAATCTCCGGGACAAACTGCCCTCCAGGACACGAGAGCCAGGACACGTTTACTCCACTGGACACTGCTGGAATTGCCTGGGAAAAGGCAGCACATGGGGGCCAAGCCCCAGTGTGCAAGATCCCTGTGTAGGCGCTGAGCACGTCTGTGACCTTGGGTGCAAAGACAGAGCCCCTGCAACAAGAGGAAGCCTTGGAATAGACACAGACACTGCTGCCATCCACAGCAGCCAGATCCCATCACCAGAAACCCTGTGGAAAGGAGGTATTTTGGTGCACGTGCATCTTCTTTAAAACCTACCCAAGAGGTAAATTCCAGGTGATGAAGCTGGAGGAAGAGGAGCACATGGGCTCCTCCCAACGCTGCCGTTCACAGCTCCAAAAGGGCAACAGGATCCGCACATGAGGAGGACACAACCAGCCCAGCTCAGCCCCTGCTTCGCTCCAGCAGCAGGTCCTTTTGCCAACCTCCTCGCTGCAGCATCTCCTGACAGGAACTCCTCCTAAATATCCCAAAGAACCTTCAGGAGCATCAGCAGATTCCTCTTCTGACCATAAACGCCAAGAAATCAGAGTTAATCATTCAGCAGAGAGGATTTTTATGAGCTTTCCATGAAGTTATGAGCAAGTTCTTCTGCACAGCCTACAAGATGACACGAAACTTTCTCAGATCTACCAAGCACCTTTGTTTCAGGGGCCACGCTGGGTCCTCCTGCATCAGGCTGCAATTACAGCGAAGAGCACAAACAGGGCCAAGGAATGGGACCAGCTCTGCAGGGTGGCTCAGGGCTTCCCTGCTCCTCAGCACCGTCACTCAGGCGGGTTCGAGCACCTCGCTCGGCCTAAGAGGTCAAGGAGGAGGCCAAACACCTCCCGTTCCTGCCTAGAAAACGGTATAAACTCCAAAATAAGGTGTTTTAAGCTCTTCCATACAAGAAAAGGCCGAGTTTAAGTTGATATAGAGAATATAAGCATACTGAGGTAGCGAAAAATTAATAAAATTCCAATTCTGCTGAAAGTTGTGACTTTCCAGTGAAAAGACCTGTGTATTTTTCCACTAAATCAGTAGAGAGAAAGGTTGCAGTATGCAGAGCAATTCATAAAAAGAGGTTACACTGGTATTCATAGAAATAGAAAAATGTATACTCAAATATAATACACGAAGTAGGATTAATTCACTTTAGAAGGCATGTCATAGTTTCAGCAACTGCTATGCAGGGTTACTGTTCAACCTAACAAAACCATTTACCTGTTCCAAATCTTCTCAGTATATAAGGTTCTAGAATTTTAGAGCAGGAACCCAACAAGTCTCCACTTAAAACCTCCAGAGGAAGAAGCATAAATAAATAAAGTATAAATAATTAAATAAACAAATAAAAAGGCAGGATCAGAAAGCTCCTAACACACTTCCAGTGAGCAGTTACAGGATGGAGCTATAACTTAAAAGCAGATAGAGCTTTACAGAGACAGCCGTGACCAGCAGGGTGACATTGACTGGACTCAAAGTGGTTGTCCCAAGAGGGCTCGACCATGTCTTGCTGCAGCTGAGGCTCTCCTGTTCATGGCTTTCTTGAGCTCCATCACTCCAGAACAAGTGTTGATGGATGGACCTGGCAGGAGGGCACGCTAGGGAGGTTGGCCACACACCCTTGACTTGCACACCCCACTCTTAGCCGAAGTGTCCAGGGGGCCCATGGAGCATTAACTGGAAGCTCTTCCAGCTTATTAAAGTACAACCTTCATTTATCTAACATCTAAGGGAGCTTTGTTACATTTGTAACAATGCAACAAGTATTTTTCATTTCTAACACTCGGATTTTACTACTACAGTATTTTCCTTTAAAAAAAGGGGTGTACTTGTAATTAAGTCTTTCAAATAAAGACTCCTGAATTAATCCTTTATGTATAATAAACTGCCTTTTGATAGGCAACTCATACCTTTCACATATATAGTAAAAACAGATACTTTTAGTGGCTTGAGCAAACCAGGGGCAAGGCATATTGTATCTCTGTAGAATTTTAATGACAGATACAAGCGTCCACCTAAAATGAGGACAAAATATTTTTTCCAAAGACATAAGAACTCTAGTCCCTCCCTCAGTCGAGTGATGTCAAACATAATAGACATATAGACAACATATAGTCAACAGTGTCTACAAATACCTCAAGGGAGGCAGTGAGGAGGACGGGGCGGCCTCTTTTCAGTGGTGGCCAGTGATAGGACTAGAGGAAACGGCCACAAGCTGAGGCACCAAAAGTTCCATAGGAACTTAAGGAAACACTTCTTTCCTGTGCAGGTGCCAAAGCCCCGGAACAGGCTGCCCAGAGAGGTTGTGGAGTCTCCTTCTTTGGAGAGCTTCCAAACCCGCCTGGATGCCGCCCTGTGCCCTGAGCTCCGGGTGTCCTTGTGTGTGCAGGGGGGTTGGACTGGATAATCTCTGGAGGTCCCTTCCAACCTTAAGCATTCTATGATTCTATGAACATAACTGTAAAATACAAGGAGCTGGTTTCAAACGGGTGTATTTCGGTTCCACATGGGTACCTACCAGTTCAAGGCATTTTTCAGAAGCACCTGGGCCACCTGGCACAAGGCAGCAGCAGATCTAGACATTCTGCACTACAGCACTCATGAAATATCTCACACACCAAACAGACAGGAACTCAGCCTGCTCCTTTTCTCCTTCCACAGACAACACTGTCTCATACAGTTGCTAAAACCCATCCTTTCTTACTTGCATCATATTATAATCACTTCACAGGACTAAATCCCTGTTCTAAGGAGATATTAGGAGCTCCTTAAAACACCTGTAAAACTGAAAACCCAAATGGTATCTTTCCTGTGGCCACAAATCAGGACACCACTTCCAGTTATTTCCTGCCCCTACTCCTGAGCCAGTGGAGCCTCCTGGTTTGCCAGTATTTCCAACTATTACACCTTACCCTTAAGAGCCTGCCCAACCTTGCTTGCTCACCTACCTGTCTGCTCTGGCCATGCTTCAATTACTGCTTTTCACTTGCTCCAGACAGGTCGGGCAGCAAAACCTCCTCTCTTATCACTCACCTGTTACCGGTTTTTGAGCGACACCTTCACAGTTAGAGCAGATTTAACTCCCTTCCATTGAATCCAGGGTCTGCCGCTTCACTGAAACGAAGCTTCCTTGCTCAAGGAACAAGGTAGTTCTTGCTCAAGGAGCAAGGTACTTCTTTCTAAGGTCTGTACACACCATTTTTCTTGCCTGCCATGAGGTCGAGAAGCAGCTGTTGATTTTGTGCTGATCAAACACATTTAATAATTTTTGTCTGCTTAGCAAAGGATGGAATTGCTGGATTTTATTTCATTCAACCAAAAGTTGTAGTATTCATCTGGATGTCTACTCTACACCTCTGTTCAACATATGTGTATGTTATGGTGTCTTTAATGCACTGGTAGGTAGCACCGAACTTCATTTACACATTAATTGGGATAGTTTAAAAAACATACAGTGCATAAATAGACGGAGCATGAGAAACTGGTGGAATGGGCTGAGGCTCAGGCTGCTGGAGACGCTAAATTCTGAAGTTATCAGGAGAAATTAAAAGCAGTTCAGGAAGAGTATCTTGCAAAAGGCAGCATGGGCAGCCGCGGGTGTGGGGACTACGGCCGAACGGCAGGGCCCGCAACGCGCAGACGGCGCCAGGGCTTCCCGGAGCCGAGTGTTTGGAAACAGCGACGTAACACATGGCCGCAGCCAAACATCAGCCATCTGCTCCTTTCATTGGGGAGCACAGCATTTCCAAGAAAAGTAAATATTACTTTCTAGAAATGTATTTGCTGTCACACAACGGTAGGTAACAAAACGGAGAGCATTTTAATTGCAAAATCCTGCTACGTAATTAGATGCTAACCTGCTGTCCGGGACACCCGAAGTATGTACAATTATGCCAGAAATGCTAATTTCAGGGCTTCCTGTTGGCTCTGATGCAAAATGAGGAAATAAGTTTTGGAAAACGGTTTCCTTAGCAACTCTCCCATTTGGAAACTGGTGCCTTGAAATTACAGATAAATGACAGCACAACTGAAGTGCAGTAGCAGATCTCAGCACTGCTACACTATCTGTATCTATGCAGGCAGGAGGACCAGCAGTAAGTTCAGATGGGATATCACGATTTGGGATGGAATTGAGCCCTGTATTTACACAGTCTGAATACTACCATTTTTTAGGCCTTTCTGTTTCCTTTGGCCTGGGTTGTGTTTCGGCTTTTTATAGAGTTTTTTATTAAAAAGCTTGTGTTCTATGGCACACACTTCTTCGTGGATGCAAGAGGGCTGTATCCTCAGGAGAAAGGAGAATAACCTTAGCACAAAATGGTAGCTCTGGGGAAAGTCCACATCTCTGTAATGAGCCAGACGACCACAGAACCTGCAACGAAGGGAAAAGCTCTGCATTAGAAGGGTAGTGAGGCAGTTAGCACGGATATACTCAAGTGCAATTTGAGAAAAACCCTCACATTTTATCTACTCCACAAATCACAGCTCTGGCCCGCAATGTCAATTCTGTAAAAGGATCCACTCCCACAAAACCTTCAAGGACAAGAAGCATCCCGAGATGGTGCAGATAGGGCGGAGGAATGTGCCCAGCGTGTTGCACGGCGAACCCGGATCCTACTGAACCAGGCAGAGGACGTGCTCTTCACTGTCACAACCAACCTGAAACTCTTTATTTCTAGCATGTTTAACACACATGGCCAAGTGTAAAAAAGGCTCCTTAAGCTGTTTTTGAAACGAATAAGACTCTGCAATGCAGACAGCAGGCTCCTTGGTCTTCTCTTTACCGCAGACCCTGCCCAGGCTCCGCGCTCTCCTTGCTGCCACTCTACCATTTATTGTAACGAGCCCATTTCTTGCCCCCTGCCTTTGTATGCTGAATATAACATCTAAAACCAGAGAAGAAAAGCCTGTTTTCGGCCAGAGAAGTAACAGGGCAAGCCCTGCCAGTGAGGAAGGCTACAGCAAAGGCTTTCAGAGGAGCGGGCAGGTGATTTAGTGATGAAACATGGAGCTAAACAGCCCACTGCTCTTACTGGTATCAAGCACCAAATCCAAAGAGAACAAAAGATGCCTCAGGGGGCAGACTGGGTAGACTCTGCAAATGCTCAGTAACAGGGCAGTATTATTTCTTGGTTTAAAGTTTTAAATTGAAAAAAAAAAAATATATATATATATATATATGGCCTAACATTTGCCTTTGTTAGATGTGGAGAGTTTAAAATAACATAAGGTCCAGCTATTTCCAATAAACAAGCACACACACTTTTGCATTCCTATAGGGACTTGGGTGCTAATCACCCTAGAAGGCCCATACATCAGCCAGCTGAGCAGGGCACTACCCTTGGATGTGGAGACCTTAAATTTCCCCCATCTGACTGAGAACAAGGGCCTCCACATTCATGGGAACAAGGACTGGCACCCGCCTGTCCCAGCTGACGGGCAATGTCCTCATCACCAGGCTGCAGAGCCATTTGCTCACTCGATCTGGCCCAAAAAACACTTATATTTTACAAACATTTTACCTCAAACAGGAGCCACAGAGGGACTCGCTCCAGAGTCTCCGGGCAGCCACACGGAGGGAGCGAAGTCTTCCTCTAAATCCCATCTCTGAGAGAGGGAATCTGAAACCACGTCCATCCCAGCTCCATCCTCTGCTCTGGGTGTCCCTGCTGGAGCAGGGGCTTGGACTAGATGATCTCCAGGAGTCCCTTCCAACCTGAACCACCCTGTGACGCTGTGAAAAAGACCTGTCTGACACCACAGCCCGGCCCCTATCTCTCCTTCACCTCAAAGCACGTGCCAAATGCAAGTGTACCTTCTAGAAGACTTTGGCTGAACCAAATCTGCACATTCTGGCCAATGTAATCAAAAACAAGCAAGCAAAGAGCCCAGCACACTGCCCTGGCCTTAAACTCGAGCTTCTGCAATTACAGCCCTAACGGAGGTTTAGGGGCCACGTTCCAGCTGACAGTGCGGAGGGCTGGGAAGAGACGACGCTTCCTACCCGGAGGCAAACGCATTAAATGGATGCTGAAAAGCACCCAGCAGCCAGAGCTACCCTTTGCACAAGGGCACCTAAAATAAAATAAATAATAAATAATAAATAATAAATAATAAATAATAAATAATAAAATCATAAATAATAATAATAAAAACACACGACCAACAACTATATGAATCTCAGCTTTACCCACAGGAACTCATACAGCAGGCACAAAGCAGTTCAGTGGTCTCAGAGCACACTGATTTTTGGAGAATTTCTAAGTTTGTTTTCAGTCCTACTACACATACACACACTCACACAGGACAAAACCTCCTATCTGAGGGAGTCGATGTTATTTCCAAAGTTAATTAAGTGTCAGATGTATAATTAACTGCTTGCATTGCAAATGATATAATGGGAAATTTAACTGGTAAGGATTTAAATTCAAATCTTGTTCCATGAAGGCTATGACAGTTTGCCATTAACATTTTAATACATTAAATATGAAAATGCAGGCTTAAAAACAGACTTTGCATTAAAAGATTATTCACACAAACACCCTGCATTATCTACTCATTCGGTGTGTATATAAGATTTACGCAAATTTGTGGTGAAAGGATTCTTACCCCTCCTCCTCCCCTTAGAAAAGCTTCTTGTTCATACAAAAGAATGAATCCATACAACCAAAGCTCTTGTAATATAACACTGTGTTTACATTATTCCAACCCATTTCTGTCACGATGGATATGTGAAAGGCAACGTGAAAAGGAAAATAAAGATAAGCAAATAAATGCAGTAAAAGACAGAAAAAACCCCATAAAACTGCATGCATGTAAAACCCAGCTATTTCCAAAGAGCATATATAGAATATTTTAAAAATCAGAAAGGTATTGCTAAGTTTCTGCGGGACCTTTCGCTCTCATAAGCATGGCATGCAGAATTGTGTATCAAATAATGATTTGAGATGTTAACGCTCTAATGTGAAGCAAGATTTCATTGCACAGCCTGACCTCCATGCTCGACACGCAACCGGACTGCACACATCAGAAACTGGGCAGAATTCAGCCCCTCTGCCAAGGCCAGCCCGTTCAGTGACGTTCAGCAGCACATTTATGTTCTGGATTAGGATTTCATCGTTCAAGCCGTGTCAGAACCAAAACCAGCGGATAATCCAGGCACCTTCTCTGCCCCTCCAAGAGGCTGGCTGCGAAACGCGGTTTTAGACCCTGCCTATTCCCAGCTGGGAAAGTTGCAGCCTCCCACGACCCTCCCTGAGCGGGGCTCGTGTTCCCTCTCCCTCCACTGTCCCAGCCAGGGCTCCCTGGCGGGGCCTGAGTGGGAAGAGCTGCCGTTTCCTGCGGAATTTGGCCGAGCAGCTGGCGGTGGGAGAGGAGCAGCAGCAGGTCTGGCACGAAGCGGGCAGGCCAGGAACCTGCACGGACACAGGAAGCTGCACAGGGCTGGGGTAGCTGGGCTATCGTTCTCCTTTCCATTCAATTCCATTAGCTATTTAAATCAAAGCTTAATAGGAATAAATAAGATAAATAGGAATAAATAAGAATAATAAGAAAAAATAAGAATAAATAAGAAGTTATTTAAAGGATGTCAAGATTTGAGAACAGTCCTTTATAGACACCGTGTTCCCCATAGCATAAAATGTTTCATTTTCCCCAACTTCTTCTTTAATTATTCCAGTCTGCTTGAAGAGTGAACTGTTGACAGCTGCTATATTCAGATGAAATATCATGCCCTTTTTGTGCCCAATCATTTTATTCTGAAATATATATATTTTGGAAGCATAAATTGCTTCTTAATTGAAGTCCAATAGCTATTTTCAACATTAATTTTCATTAAGGTGAGCACCAAAAGAAGCATACTGATTTAGCAAATGAATTCCTAGCTCCTTTTCTTTTGGAGAGCCTGGGAGATGTGTGTGGTGGGGATAAAATACTTTTTTCCACTCCTTGGAAAGTTGTGCTGCAATATCTTGGTCTAACATGCCACAGAGAGGGAAGTGCCTATTCCTGCCTAGCTGCTCCCCTGGCCGCGCGCCCTCAGTTGTTGATTCTGTCTCCTCTGCTTTGGTCTCCAAGCTCACTTTGATCACTCCTCACACGATCTGTCTACACCCAGTCCAAGACATAACCAGGGTGCACAAGTCCCTTGCTGCAAATGATTTTAACTATATGTGAATGCAGAACTGTGCACACACAGAATCACAGACTGGTTGAGGTTGGAAGGGACCTCTAGAGATCATCCAGTCCAACCCCCTGCTCCAGCAGGGATACCCTGAGCACAGGGTGGCATCCAGGCAGGTTTGGAAGATCTCCAGAGAAGGAGACTCCACAGCCTCCCTGGGCAGCCTGTTCCAGGGCTCTGGCATCCTCACAGGAAAGAAGTTTCTCCTCACATGGAGATGGAACTGCCTGTGTTTCAACTTGTACCCATTGGCCCGTGTCCTGTCACTGGCCCCCACTGAGAAGAGCTTGGCCCCTTCCCTCCCTACATTCCCCCTTTGTGAACTTACACATGTTAATCATCTCAGCCTTCTCTTCTCCAAGCCAAACAGGCCCAGCTCACTCAGGCTCTCCTCATACGAGAGATGCTCCAGTCCCTTAAACACACCCCTTATTTCTCTTTAATAATAAAAAAAGGACTTTCCAATCTGTACATATACACATATATATAAATATACACACACATACACACACTTAGCAGTCTGAATACTTACTTCTCCGTACACAGTTTGACTGTGCAGAGCCAGTAGTCAGGGTTCATGACTGTAAGGAGGCCACATTTTTCTTGCAAAACGCCCTTCAGGCTATGTCCATGAAAACAACTCCCATCTGTGTTTTCCTCAGACCAGCTGAACTGAAAACTGGAAGGATTTGGCTTTTCAGCAGGTTGCCACGAACCAGAGAGCTTGCCAAACTGATTCTGTAAGTTCACAACGATTTCTGTACAGATAGAAACAAAAATCAACACACAAAATACCCCCAAAGTATTAGAATATGGCTTAGAGGTGATTTACAGAGGGGAAAAATGGCTATCAGTGCCTATTTTTTTTTCCTCTCCCCCTGTGCACGATATACCGAGACAGCCTAAAAGTCTGTATGTTTTCTCCTTTCTATTTAATATTCAAGTCTGTCATATATTTCAGAGAAAGATTTTGAAAGACTAATCCAAATACCATGTCTTTCATACCTACTGCTGTTGGGTATGATATTAGATTTGGGGTACTCCCAAAACAGACCCAGAAAAGCCAGTAAAACCCACGAGGGTTTACTGAGTCGACAGGATTTACTGAGTAGTTTCCTGTGGAGCAGAAGTAAGGTCAACTCTTTTTCTATGCATGTAGATATACGGTTAAATTTTTCACTGGGCATGTTCCCACTGGAAAATAAAAAAAAGAGAAAAGAGAAAAAGCAAGAAACAAGAAAAAAATACTATCTTTCTTCATGGCTTGTGAAACACTTAGAAATACACTTTATCTTGTCTAATATCAAAAAGCACCTCATTTTTTTCTTAGGGGGAGCATTTTATAGGGTTTCTTCTGCTTCTTTCTGAGAAGCAGCAGAACCTGAAGGAGACTCCAGAGCAGAAGAGGAATTATAAACAATGAATGACTATTCTCTTTTTCTGATAAACACAAAACTAAAGGCCATTCAAGTAAATGATGACTTGGAAAAAAAAATCTATAGAACCACTGCAGGATCTCTCCTATATAATGTTGAGAAGAGTAAGAGAGTAATTCCACTCTTGCAAGAGAAATCCATCAAGAGTTATTCCAACCAAAGATGATGTTATAGCTTGTTCAGAGTCACTGAAAAAGTCACTGCCAGAAACTGGTTGAGCCCATCAAGAGAAAGACGCAACTTGCCAGACTTCCTATCACCTCCCTCCCACTGTCCTTCACTTACTAGAGAAACAGAATGAAGAACTTCAGGTTTGAAATTTGGCTGAATGAAAATGTTTTCCCTAAATTCACAGGTAATGTGTTTAACTGATACCAAAAAGAAGAGTATTTTCCTATAGATATTTCTAGAACCTCTAAAATAGGACAGATGGATCTTCACTCTGGCCATATAGAACTAGCTACTTAAACAAAGTTAAATTCAGACAAAACCTCCTCACTTTCTACAGGAGACTGCAAGAATGAGTGGGAAAGAAGGGGGATGTAAAGGATCTACCAAAGCATATTCTAAGGTATGAAGACAGTAAAGGGGAAAAGGCATATAAAAGCCATGGGAGAGCCAGAGCAGCCCAGGAAAATCACAGTTATCTAAAGGCAGCTGACAAATTGGTGAAGATGAGGGCAGAATTCTCATTCTAAGATTAGCTTAAGTAGGTCATTTAGGGAGATTGGCAAAGGCAGCTTGAGTTAAACTTCAGGGAAACGTCTGACTGACAAATTCCAGCCATAGGTTGTAAAATAGTACCTTAATTGAGCCCAGAGATAAAAGGGAGAAGGGGAAGTATTTTAGGATGTAAATGTTATCATGGTTAGGGCGTGCAGATTTTTGATGATGGGAAAAGTTGGAGCACATTTTTGCATTGATTCAAAGAGGCAAAGTTTACTCACGCCTTCGCTTAAGAACTTTAGACTTCTTCTTGGCTGAATAAAAGAGTGGCTTTTCACATCTCCACAGACACCTATCAATAAGAAAAAAAAATAACTGCAAGGGAAAAGACAGTGGGAGCAAGTCTATAGAAGAACAGTAATTTCTTACAAATCGTTTTGGAGCTATTGAAATAATCTAATGGTTAGTGTCATTAAGGCCCCTTCCACACACTGTGTATACAGCAAGCCTCTTGCCAGGGTAGACAAACTAAGGCATGTAATCATAGATTTACTGTAGTCAGTTAATTGTTTGATTGTATAAGCTACTTGTCACAGAAAGTGAGTATTTAATTATTACGCTGGATAAACATTACGAGTGTAAATAGGAGGCTAAGATAGGCACTTAACTCTTTCAATCACCCAAGCTGACTGTAACAAACTGTGGCAAATTCCTAAACTTTTCAACTTCTGTGAGGAGTCACAATTTCTTGTTAAGACTATCAAAATATATATCTATTTAAACCTCTTACTTGGCTCTTTCTTCATCCATTTTCTTTTGTTCCACATCCAAAGTATTTTTTATAACCTTGTACCACTTCTTGAACTCGAAATATGGACCATCTAAAGAAAACATGTGACATTAAATTTTTAAGTATGAGAAGAAGCAAAAGAAACAGGTAACATTGAAAAGGTTGTCTACGTGCAATCAGACCTCATTTCTCCAGTCTGTAAAACACAAGTAATGTTTAATGCACATAGAAGACATACTTGCTTTAGCAATTTACTTGGCAAACAAATGAAAATCAGAAATGCAGCAAAAGATGTCTGAAGAACTGTGGAGGAGCTCCAGAGTTTTATACAGTTCTCATAGGTTTAGCACTATTCAAACCTTCCCTCGTTTTCAGAGGTGAACTAGATTTCTACAGGGTCAAGTGGCCTTCATCTTTTTGCAAGTTGCCCTCAATGTATTAATGAAACTTCACAGATCAAGTTTAAAAATAAATGACTATGTTCTAAAGAAGCTCTGACACAAGATTTCAAACAGTCTGATCTCCACAGTCTTTCCTACCACCTATGAAATGTTAGAGGGCAGAAAAGCCAAACTTGACAAACTGTGAGCCCTTTGAATCAGCCTCCCACTTAACTCTGAGTACAGGAACTTCATTCACTGACAGGGGAACGAGTATCTACTAACACATGCAAAACCACGAGGGGAAACGGCATTCCAGCATCATGTTTAGCACCGATGCTCCACGGAGGCACAGGACAGAAGTGAATCAGCAGGGTACAGCAGGTATAAGAATCCGAGATGAAACCACGTATAGATACGGAGTATAATTTTAAAAGTATAATCAACCCTTGCTGTGCGTGGGTGCTTTATCTGCACTGTGAATTAAGCAGGCACTGCATTTCCCCACCGCCCCAGCTGCACTGCGTGTGCTGCTTGCATCATGCTCAGCTGTGCCAGCTACCTGTTTTGACTGTTTTGGGGTGACTGTGCAACCTTATGTATGTTTTTTATTATCTCCTTTTTTGCTTTATTCAAGTTATTCTGGCACGGGATGCTTTAAATACTAATATACAGATGGATTTTAAAAGTGGCAGACAAATGCAGGGAAGAAAAAGTCATATTTATATTTATATTTATATTTATATTTATATTTATATTTATATTTATATTTATATTTATATTTATATTTATATTTATATATAAAAGTCTTTTATTTATATATTTATTCTTTTTTAAGACTCAAAAGTGAGATTACAAGTTCTTTTATGAACTCCTCTAATCATGGAGTCCTGGAAGACCAGTCTAGGGAAGAAAGTTTTTACATTTATCTTACTTTTCACTCTCTCCTTCAATATCTACTACAAGCAAACCCACTATCAGAGGCACCAGTTAGGCTGCACTAACCTTGTATCTGACCAGTGCTGCTGGTCTTAGGCTGATATAGTTGAGATGACTGGAAAATACACAACTCTATTGGAGAATACTGTTTATGTTCAAATAAAATGTGACTGAGATGTCATATATTGTGACATCTATATGCATGTGACATGTATATGCATGCAGTTCAAGCACAATCACACACACGAGTACTAGCTACCTACAAATACCTATGGTGCAACTTGCAGTCCGTCTTGGAAAAAATGGAAGAGCTGAATTCCCTTCCCTTGCCACTTGGAGAACGCTAGAAAAAGAACTGTTCAACTGAAAATGAACATAACCTGGACCTTTAAAACTCCGAATTCACCATTATTCATTTCAGTGCAGCCTTGCCATGAGGCCAGAGGCAGTTTTGAGCTTAGACACTAATCAGTACCCTAAGAGAAATTCTCCTCTGGTGCTGCTGCTCACTGTCAGTGCAGCACAAGAACACAACAGGGGCAACACCGAGCAGCAGGGAGCAGGTTGCACCAGGAGACTCCAAGGTTAAAGGAAAAAAAAAAAGTGGGCTGGTAACTCCCAAAGGCGACGAGACTTGTTAATAAGGGAGAAACTCCATTAAGACATTAACGGCTTTGAGCCCCAGCTTGCACAGAATTGTGCAACTTCTACCTCTCATCACTATCGTGTATTTTGCCTATTCAAGGCAAACTGTGAGGAAAAAGCAAATATATTTGTGTATCTATTTGAAAACCAGTTTCTTTTAATCAAAAATAATGACCATCTCCCTAGAAGCAGCAATACTGGTGTTTGCTGATATTTGCCAGCACTGATTTTGTTACTGACTTGAATTTTAAAAAGTAACGCAAGGGTCAAAATGAATCCACAACTGGATGGAAAGTTTAAAACCCAGATCCCTATAACACACCTTTGCCCTTATCTCCAAGTGTGATCTGGATAAGAGCAAGGGAGCATCTTCCTGAAGATTTCTAATCTTTGATTCAGTCTTTTTGCCCTCAAAGAACCATGTTCACACCATTATCTTCCCTATCTTAATTGCTGCTGGCTTTTCCACACTCTCTCAGGACTATTTAGACTAAGAAAACAGATTACATCTGAAATATGTTACACACTACGACATTTTATTTAACATGACTAAACAAGTTTGGATTTTATCATAAATGTAGTTTGATGCCCCTAATAAGTATCTGCTATTTATGATCAAAGCGTGTTCCCTCTTTACAGTGTAAGCATTTAGCTTCACCTAGCCTACATAAAAGGACAGAATTCTAAACAAAAGAGGTAAACACGTAAAAGGAAAAGCAGGAAAGGTATCTAGCAAGATACGTCCCTAACTCCCCTACTGGGGACAATAAAAAGTACACAGGTAAATGGAGACATTTTTATCCAAATAAGATCTAGTACTTTTTTTAAATACGGATTCTAAAGAAAAGAATAAACAAACAAAAAAGAATTAAGGACTGCTAAAAAATCACATTTTAATCATTGCTAGCATTTTTTTCAAGCAAAAATTACTTTGATTACAAAGTAATTTCATTTACAAAACCATAAGAGACTGCTTCCACTAGAATATTTACGTACCTTCTTTGTTGTTTTTATTTCTTTCTTGAGCAAAGTCTGACAGTAGCCTGAAAAAAAGAATCAAATCGACTATTTTGTTGATCAAAACCCAGCACTTTTAAGACTTTAATTATAAATTTCAAAGACAACTGAAAAAAATTGCACCCCCATTTTCATTACAAGTTCTACATGTAAACTAGTGATTTCAAAAAGCAAGTAATATTTAGGACAAAGATCCTTTTAAATCTTATTTTTTTGTGTGTGCGTTACTGAACTAAATGAAAATTCAGGTATATACATTAAACATTAATAAAGACAAAACACTTAATACATCGCTTGCATTTTTTGAATTTTGAGGCTTTGATACATGTTTGCCTGCATACTTACCATTCGTAGTGATCATCTAATAAGAAGAGTAATTTGAGCACCACTACAATAACTGCTGCAGCAAGAACATCATATTTCACTTTCCTCATAGACTTATTCTCAGGAACCAAAGTCAGGAAATCTGCTTCTCCTACGTGGATCTTTTTCACCACTCGACAAGTCCAATTATGCAATTCATCTGATTGTTATAAATAAAAACATGAAATGAGTATGTTGAGACAAGCTAAAAGCACCTTTTCAATGTAAATATGTTAAGTGATTTGAGGAAAAAAAATGCTTATAAGTTTTGGGACCACCGGATACTTTTTCCCACCTGAAAGCATTTTTATTACTCATATTTTTATAAATATTATTAAGCAATCTTCATTATATTTATATAAAGAAACAATTGTGACCTATTATAAATGCATGGGGGGGAAAAAAAAGGCAGACTTTTAACAGTGATTGGATGTTATTCTAATTATGTTATTAGATCATCCTGAACACTGTTCCAGGAAATCCTATCTTAAATCTACATGAATACATTTCAACTCCAACCTTAACAGAAAGAAAACTCAAAGTCTCTAAACTTTTCACAGCCCTTTTGCTGCATGCCAGGGAACTAAGCACAGATGCAAGGACGGCAGGAGGCTGCAGCAGAGCACTCAGCAGCTATCCCAGCAAAAGAGCAGGCTCAAGCACAGACATTCCTAATTGAGATTAAAATTAGCATTCCATTGTAAAGGCCAACAACTTTGCTAGCATGGTGTGTCTTTAAAAAATGAATTAAAAAACAAGGTACAACTGCAGCTCTACAGCTCCAAAAGAAGCAGTATGATATCTATACGGTCTCTCATTACTTTATGCTTATTTTTCACACATACAAATCCCCCAAATTTCTCACCTTTCCTGTTTAGCCAGAAAGACAAGAGTTGTTACATCACCATGAGATTCCACAAAGGTTAGCAATGTATGACTAAGTACAACGCTAATCCATCTCTACTTTGTCTTCTCTTGCTGCTTACAAAGAGTTCAGTATGAGCTACTTTTTAATCCTCTCATTTATATGAAGTTAAAGAAAAAGCGACAACCATGAGAGCACTTCCAAAATATATAATACATATTTTTACAAATATTGTCAGTATACTTTATTTTACTGCAGATACTTTAAATGAACTCTGTTACTATTTAACATGCGAAGAGGCAGTGCCAGTTCACTGCTTTATTTTTTTACAAGTTGCTATATAGCAACATTAGTCCATTTTTCAAACGGCAAATAAAATGTTTCCTCATGATAGAAACGTTTGAAGAAAATGCAAAGCACAAAATATTCTTTGGGGAGTTTTTCAGAGTATTTAGCTAATTTGCTAATATCCAAATCAATGCTAATAATTCAATTAATACAGTTACTTTCCCCTTCTGTTTATATATACATACACAGCTATATACACATATATATATATAGGTCTCACAATGAGCTGGTTTCTTTTAATTCCTCAGACTTGTTTTTAATAGAAAGGGGAATTCAACACATACAAATCACTCAGATTGATGGTCTGTGCAGAGAATTAGGATTCACAAAGCAGTCTTTTAGAATACTGTCTTAGCAACTGTTTGGCAAACATTTATGTTAAGTGATAGAAGAAGGAAGCAGTCAAAGCTGGAGTGCAAACCAGTTGTTAAAAGGTGCAGATTTAAACAGTGTCACTCTAAAATAGTGACACTCAAGAACACCTTTTAATTAAAATTCAGTTTAGAAAATTACAAGCTCTCTCAAAAATAGTAGTGTGATATATTTAAAGAAAATATCTTTCAGATTCAAAGTTAAATGTGTGTAATTCAGCAGGAAAAGAGTAGGAAATTCTAAAATAATAATTTAAGTCTTTTCATTGGGGTTTTACATACCAAATAAATATGTTATCTGTTGAGATTTGAGAAAATATTTACCCGGTAAGTTAGCTTCCATCAAGTACTTCATGCACAACATGTCTGGATGAAGAAAGCAGCTCTCTGTTATATCTGGAAAACGAGGCAGCTCCAGGAAGGCAGCAAGGTGAACCATTTTGTCGTGCACTTCTTCATAGACAGGCCATGACTGAAAGACAGGGTTAGAGTGTTTGGTGTATTTGTTCTACTATTAGTTACAGATTTAAAATATTGCAGAATTTAAAGCAGAAACACCACTTTCTTTAGCACCTTATAGGAAACAATCATACATAGAGTTCCCCATCAGACTTGAAATCAATCAGTATGGTGTAAAACGGTCAGTATGTTTCCATATGCTCCAAGACTGAAAAAAACAAAACAAAACAAAACAAAACAAAACAAAAAAAAAAAAAAAAAAAAAAAAAAAACCACAAACAAAAAAAAAGAGGACATCATGTGTGCAGGGGGGTTGGACTAGATGACCTCTGGAGGTCGCTTCCAACCGTAAGCATTCTATGGTTCTATGATCAAATCACAGAATAGCTGAGGCTGGAGGGGACCTCTGAGACCAGCTAGTCCAAGTGTCCTCCTCAGAAAGCAGGGTCACACACACCAGGTTGCTCAGGGCTGTGTTCACTTGGGTTTTGTGCAACTTCAAGGATGGAGGTTCCACAACCTCTCTAGGCAGCCTGCTGCAGTGTTTGGACACCTTTACTACAGAGAAATGCAATTTATTGAATTGCACTTTGTGGCTACTGCCTCGTGTCCATTCCCTGGGCCCCACTGAGAAGAGCCTGGTTCATCATCTTTACACCTCCCTTCAGATCCGTACGCACATCTGTGAGATCCCTGCTCAGTCTCTTCCTCAGGCTGAGTCTCAGTTCTCTCGGCCTCTCCGTGCACATCAGATGTTCCAGTCCCACCAGGATCTTCATGGCCTTTCACTGCACCCGGCCCAGTACATTTGTCTCTCTCTTGCCCTGGGAGTAGTAAACACATCACTCCAGGTGTGGCCCAGCAGTTGTGGGCACGGGGGAAGGATCAGCTCCTTCAACCTAAGGACAACTTAATGTCCTTAGTTGCTCAGAACATCCATTGGCCCTCCTGGCTGCAAGAGCACATTATTTGTTCATGGAATTTAGTGTCTACCAGGACCACCAGGTCCTTCTTCGCTGAGCTGCTTTCCATCCACTTGTTCCACTCCATTCCTGGATGCAGGAATACCCTGTATGGGCTTATTCCTCTTCAGGTGCAGGACTTTGTACTTCCCTTCATTGAACTTCTTACAGCTTCTATCAACCCCTTTCTCCAGCCTGTTGATCTCTGGTCTGCAAATCACTACCCCCAGTTTTCCATCATCTGCCAACATGCTGAAGGTCGACACTGTCCCATCGTCTAGGCCATTAATGAAGATACCAAAGAGCATTGGCCCACTGGTGACCTGGGAGGACACCAGGAGCGACCGGCATCCAGCTGGGCTTCATGCCACAGGCCACAGCCATCCCAGCCTGGCAGCTCCTCCAGCCTTCAACTCACAAGGCAGGCAACTTATCTAGTCTGTACTTCAGTTTGTCAACAAAGAAGTTACACGAGAGTTTTAAACATCTTATTTACGGCAACATAAACAACATCCACTGCTCCTCCCTCATCCAGCAAGTCGTTTAGCTCCTCACAGAAAGCTATGGAAGTAGTCAGACACAACGTCCCCTTCATATATCCTTGATAACTACTTTTAGTCACCTTCTTGCCCTTGGGTTTGGAAATGGCTTGTTAGCTCCATCCCATTCCCAGGCTCCATCACGTTCCAGTCTCAGTGTGAGGGTGACAGACTCAAATTCTCCTTCTTGCCCTTTCTGACAGCGGGGTTGACGTTTCCTCTCGTTGAGGCTCCCGGCACCCCTGGTGACAGCCGTGACGTTCCCGATGCGGAGCGGCCTCGCTGCCATGCGGACCAGCCCGCACCACCCGCACTGGTGCCTACGGACCTGTGTGTGTCCCGGGTGCCTAAACCATCCCTACCAAGGCAAGCCTACCTTGCCCTGGACATCCCCAACTGGCTTCACGGAGCTGGTATTGCTAAGGCCAGGATTACCAGCAAAAACCAAAGCAAAGATGGTACCTTGGCCTCTGCTACCAGGTTGCCATTCCCCTTCAGCAGCAGGCTCACATTTTCCAGTATCTTTCCAAAGAACCTCTACTAATATTTCATGCAAAAATAAAATTCTAATTCCTTTTCTGCAACTCTTCTCAAAATCACTGACTATACCAAGTTCTCCCTATTTCCACTGAAGCTTCTGCTAGAGAATTAACTCGCAGCCAGATTCTGACATGCTTATTCCCAATGAGCTCAAAAAGGATCCGGTAAAGTTTACTGAAATAAGGTTTGGACTGTGAGGTTTGACCCTCATTTCTTAATACTTTAACTGTTTTATTAAATATTGTTCATACTTTTTAAAAAAAATGCTTTAATTTGGATGTACCTGGATGATTTTAAGTTGTTCAGACTACTTCAGTAGTTTAGATGTATAAAAACAGTGCATCTTCTGCTTGTTTGACAGCATCTTACCATGTGTTCAGATTTATCCAGTCAGTTATGTTCATAAGGTACTTTCCTTTTCAGGAGGACAAAGCAAAGGCTTACACTTGGTCCACGATTTAAAAATTTACTGAAAATGAATGAATTCAGGGTTCTGTTTTTATAGACTAAAAATTCACAGTAATTACACTTCCAGCAACAGCGTGACTGAAATAACACCTTTTCATTCAGTTATTTGGTTTAATCTATTTTAATACAAGCTACACAGCCAATTCTGTAATTGAATAGGTTTGAATGATTGCCAACCTTCCCATTTATTTCTAAATGATCTTCCCTCAGACTGCAGTCAAGACTTGCTTAATTGCATGAACACATGCTTAAGCAAATAAGTAATTCTACCACCACTTGTTATTACACATGCATCTTTTTGTAACAGTTAGGAAGTTGTATCATGTTCATTATGTTTTCTAAACAGTGTTAAAAAGTGGTTTTGACTTCTATGGGCCTACCTTGAGAAACAAGAAAAACATGCATTACCAGGCTTCCAGAGAAGGCCAAGCTTAGAGCACTTTCCATTCCTTTTAAAAATCAGGTCTAAATTGAAAAGTCAAAACAGTTCTGAAACAAAACCTGCATGGTTCATAACTACCTTTGGGTGTATTTAGAGAAAAAATAAAGTGGATTTCATGAAAAGCAGATGAATTACAGTTTTCTTAGTAACATATCAGAGAGGAAAATGAAACCAAGGTAATAGAAATTTGGATATTGAAAGCATCCTTATTCTCAGACATTGTGCAAGGTAAAGAATATAGCTCCTAGGTTGATAATCTAGGAAAGGTACCTAATGTCACTAGATAGATTCTCTTGACTGAATCAGGCTAAGGAGTGAATCATCCCTACCTTCTTTGGATAAGAAAATATATATTAGAAAATATAAATACTGTAAATACAGCTATCCCGTGGCTTATTTTTTTAAAAGGATGTTAACAGACATTTAGTTGGTGTCTGCTGGTAAGAGAGGCAAACACAGTTGGGACGTGCAGATTTAGGAAGGGCCTAATAACCCACCGTAATGTATCACCACCAAAACAACTGCTGGAGAGCAGGGCTTAATCCCTAAACCCACAAACATTCACTGTAAAGTCACTCGTGCTGCAGTAGATTCAGAATAAGGCAGAATTAACCCAATGACGAGTTTCTAGGGGTACCCAGCAATCTCCTGAAGTTTAAACTGCAAGTGGAAGCTGAACCAAATGCAGGATCCCATCTCAGCAGTGACACCACATCACAGAGAATGGCTGAAGGCTTGAAGAGCAAAAGCTGAAGACTGCAGCGTGCTTCAATGAGCAAGTATTGAAAGCTCTTGCCAATTTCTACATGCATTTAACAACCTGTTTAATTCTGAGAAAGACCTAAATTCAAAGACCAAATCTTTCATTCCATATTCTTTGGTCTGAAACCAAAGAACACCCACTTTTCATGAAATGAACATGCTAAATATTAGTAAAATACGTTAAGAAAAAGCAAAATACAATTAGCCACAAAAAAATTAACAAAATTTATCACCTTCCACCTAGCTACGTAACTCTCCCAGGAAAAGAGAATAAAAAATACTGACAAGACAAGCTGTGCTGGAAGTCAACCCCTGAATCAAGCAGGAAAGCAACCCCAGAGCTGCAGCCTCCTCAGCTCCAGGCTGGTCACCTCCAGCACCTTGTGATTAAGCACCAGGAGAGGAGCACTTGGGGAAGCAGGGACAGTGTTGGATCATATCCCACATCTCCTCCAAGTATAACTTTTTTTCTTATTCATGATTTTGCACCACGCTTCTTGGTTCGGATTCTGTGCAAAGTATTAGGGACAGCTGCCTCATCAGTGCAGTTCCTGGGCTCTCACCTTCTGCTTCCAGAACGTGGGAATCATTCCATGTACAAGCCTTTCCTACAAACCTTTAAGGACACCTAAGTCCAGGAAGACAGAATGCCCTTCTAAAGCTGTATCATTTGACTGCTTTTTTGGGTATTTCACAAGCTGGAATTTGTTCAAGACAGGTCAACAATAACAGAGCCTAGAACATGTCTGGATTTGGATATAGAGGTTATTGAGGACATACTCAACAGCTGCATCTTTGAAGTCTTTATATCTTCATCCCACACATATAGAAGCTTTAAAACACAAGTCTTCTCCAGAAAGTAGCAAAAAAAGCTTAGTACTATTTGAGAATAGTGGGTTTTTTGGCCTTATATAGCAAACAAATCAAAATAAACACTACTCAGCTGGTAAAGAAGCATCTACAATAAGATATTCATGAAGATAAGTATTTGTTACTCTCTCAAAATCAGTTTTCTTTGTCCCTCAAAGGTACAACAGAGTCTCTACCTGTATTATGAGAGAACAACGTGGTTTCCAGAGGACAAGGAGCCCCATTATTAATACGTTGCTCAGATCACAGCAACGAGCAGCTGTTTGGGGTGAGCCAAGGCTGCAGCCTCTCGGACTGGTTTGGACAGTGCCACAACGGTGCTGATCAACAGGCACCAAGCTGCAGACCTTGCCTGGCTTTCGCGACTCGTGTGCAGCCTGCGTGGCTTTTGGTTTTAAATTTGCCCTCTCTCCTTTCTTTTATGATCATA